AGTATTAGGATGGCCCCACCCAGCGGGTAACGAGGACCCTTCATTCGGATCTAGTATTAGGATGGCCCCACCCAGCGGGTGATGAGGACCCTTCATTCGGATCTAGTATTAGGATGGCCCCACCCAGCGGGTGATGAGGACCCTTCATTCGGATCTAGTATTAGGATGGCCCCACCCAGCGGGTAACGAGGACCCTTCATTCGGATCTAGTATTAGGATGGCCCCACCCAGCGGGTGATGAGGACCCTTCATTCGGATCTAGTATTAGGATGGCCCCACCCAGCGGGTAACGAGGACCCTTCATCCCCAAGGTACAGGAAGGAAGGATTTACATTCCAGGACAGCAAAGCCAAGGAGATCCCTCACACCCGTAGTAAGGAATATAGAGGGCTTACCCCCAGGTATTGGTCATCGCAGAAGATCTGGGGGGGCAGAGGAACCCCACTAGCCGGCCGGCAGTTTTCCGGAACATTCTCCCTCATCCACTTCCGGTTTTCCTCGTTGGCGGCGATGTCCCTCTCCTTCATGTGGGATCTTCAGGGAGTCCAATATGGAGAAAACCGTCTGCTGTCTCTTCTTTATCTGAAACAGGAAAAATCCATTCATTCCCGGCTCCGCCCACTGTGGTGACATCACCAGGTGAAGAAACGGAAATGGGGTCAGAAAATGGGCAACTCCACCTAAAACGATTTTCTGTTTTATTCTGGAAGGAGCGATTGTTCATAATGATAAAGACCCCCAGATGGACCTCCCCCGCTTACAGGGTCTATCATTATCCAATCACGATTCACGAGGTCCCAACAACGAATCTAATCATTTCATGGATGATCCGATCGATGGGTTCACGTTATAGAAACTTACAATGGATTCTCTGTCCAATTGATTTTATCTCAGCAACAGGGATGATGACCTATGACATTTCCTGATACACGGTACATGTGACATAATGCAGAAATGGAAATATGGAACAGCAACAATATAGAGGAGCTTACACTCTAATGTCCCCTCCCCCACAGTCACATCAGTCTCTGTACCAGAGGAGCTTACGCTCTAATGTCCCCTCCCCCCCCCCAGTCACATCAGTCTCTGTACCAGAGGAGCTTACACTCTAATGTCCCCTCCCCCACAGTCACATCAGTCTCTGTACCAGAGGAGCTTACGCTCTAATGTCCCCTCCCCCACAGTCACATCGGTATCTGTACAGAGGAGCTTACACTCTAATGTCCCCTCCCCCACAGTCACATCAGTCTCTGTACCAGAGGAGCTTACGCTCTAATGTCCCCTCCCCCACAGTCACATCAGTCTCTGTACCAGAGGAGCTTACGCTCTAATGTCCCCTCCCCCGCAGTCACATCAGTCTCTGTACCAGAGGAGCTTACACTCTAATGTCCCCTCCCCCACAGTCACATCAGTCTCTGTACAGAGGAGCTTACGCTCTAATGTCCCCTCCCCCCACAGTCACATCAGTCTCTGTACCAGAGGAGCTTACACTCTAATGTCCCCTCCCCCACAGTCCCATCAGTCTCTGTACCAGAGGAGCTTACACTCTAATGTCCCCTCCCCCACAGTCACATCAGTCTCTGTACCAGAGGAGCTTACGCTCTAATGTCCCCTCCCCCACAGTCACATCAGTCTCTGTACCAGAGGAGCTTACACTCTAATGTCCCCTCCCCCACAGTCACATCAGTCTCTGTACCAGAGGAGCTTACACTCTAATGTCCCCCTCCCCCACAGTCACATCAGTCTCTGTACCAGAGGAGCTTACGCTCTAATGTCCCCTCCCCCCCCAGTCACATCAGTCTCTGTACAGAGGAGCTTACGCTCTAATGTCCCCTCCCCCACAGTCCCATCAGTCTCTGTACCAGAGGAGCTTACGCTCTAATGTCCCCCCCCCCCCCAGTCACATCAGTCTCTGTACCAGAGGAGCTTACGCTCTAATGTCCCCTCCCCCGCAGTCACATCAGTCTCTGTACCAGAGGAGCTTACACTCTAATGTCCCCTCCCCCCACAGTCACATCAGTCTCTGTACAGAGGAGCTTACGCTCTAATGTCCCCTCCCCCACAGTCACATCAGTCTCTGTACCAGAGGAGCTTACACTCTAATGTCCCCTCCCCCACAGTCCCATCAGTCTCTGTACCAGAGGAGCTTACACTCTAATGTCCCCTCCCCCACAGTCACATCAGTCTCTGTACCAGAGGAGCTTACGCTCTAATGTCCCCTCCCCCACAGTCACATCAGTCTCTGTACCAGAGGAGCTTACGCTCTAATGTCCCCTCCCCCACAGTCCCATCAGTCTCTGTACCAGAGGAGCTTACACTCTAATGTCCCCTCCCCCACAGTCACATCAGTCTCTGTACCAGAGGAGCTTACGCTCTAATGTCCCCTCCCCCCCCAGTCACATCAGTCTCTGTACAGAGGAGCTTACGCTCTAATGTCCCCTCCCCCACAGTCCCATCAGTCTCTGTACCAGAGGAGCTTACGCTCTAATGTCCCCCTCCCCCCCCCCAGTCACATCAGTCTCTGTACCAGAGGAGCTTACGCTCTAATGTCCCCTCCCCCGCAGTCACATCAGTCTCTGTACCAGAGGAGCTTACACTCTAATGTCCCCTCCCCCACAGTCACATCAGTCTCTGTACCAGAGGAGCTTACGCTCTCTAATGTCCCCTCCCCCACAGTCACATCAGTCTCTGTACAGAGGAGCTTACGCTCTAATGTCCCCCTCCCCCACAGTCACATCAGTCTCTGTACCAGAGGAGCTTACACTCTAATGTCCCCTCCCCCACAGTCCCATCAGTCTCTGTACCAGAGGAGCTTACGCTCTAATGTCCCCCTCCCCCACAGTCACATCAGTCTCTGTACCAGAGGAGCTTACGCTCTAATGTCCCCTCCCCCACAGTCCCATCAGTCTCTGTACCAGAGGAGCTTACACTCTAATGTCCCCTCCCCCACAGTCACATCAGTCTCTGTACCAGAGGAGCTTACGCTCTAATGTCCCCTCCCCCACAGTCACATCAGTCTCTGTACAGAGGAGCTTACGCTCTAATGTCCCCTCCCCCGCAGTCACATCAGTCTCTGTACCAGAGGAGCTTACGCTCTAATGTCCCCTCCCCCACAGTCCCATCAGTCTCTGTACAGGGGAGCTTACACTCTAATGTCCCCTCCCCCGCAGTCCCATCAGTCTGTACCAGAGGAGCTTACACTCTAATGTCCCCCCCTCCCCCCACAGTCCCATCAGTCTCTTTACCAGAGGAGCTTACGCTCTAATGTACCCTCCCCCACAGTCACATCAGTCTCTGTACAGAGGAGCTTACGCTCTAATGTCCCCTCCCCCGCAGTCACATCAGTCTCTGTACCAGAGGAGCTTACGCTCTAATGTCCCCCTCCCCCACAGTCCCATCAGTCTCTGTACAGGGGAGCTTACACTCTAATGTCCCCCTCCCCCGCAGTCCCATCAGTCTCTTTACCAGAGGAGCTTACGCTCTAATGTCCCCTCCCCCACAGTCCCATCAGTCTCTGTACCACAGGAGCTTACGCTCTAATGTCCCCTCCCCCACAGTCCCATCAGTCTCTGTACAGAGGAGCTTACACTCTAATGTCCCCTCCCCCGCAGTCCCATCAGTCTCTGTACCAGAGGAGCTTACGCTCTAATGTCCCCTCCCCCACAGTCACATCAGTCTCTGTACAGAGGAGCTTACGCTCTAATGTCCCCTCCCCCACAGTCACATCAGTCTCTGTACAGAGGAGCTTACGCTCTAATGTCCCCTCCCCCACAGTCACACAGTATTATACATGTATGTAGCTCTGACATACACCATGGCGCAGTACACAGGCAGACATGTAGGCAGGAGATGTGCAGGCCGGTGCTGCATAGGAGAGCTCACAGTGACAGCTCCCTGCCCCCCCCCTGTAGCACTGCCGAGTATTTCTCGGTAATATGAAGTAATACGGAGACCTCAGTCTGGAATAGAGAAGTCTCCCTGCGGGGAGGGGGGGGCTGGTTTGGGGGGGGGCGGTCATATTTGTACTCCATGGCTCATTTCCCTTATATGGACAAGAATTCCCCCCCCTCCCCTCCCCCTCCTCACCGACTCCGAGCTACAGACACTCCAGCACCAAATATGGAGAAGTGACAGTCATGGCCCCCCCCCCCCCCCCCCCCCCCGGGACAGCGAGGGTTCATTTCCAGCACAGACCGATTAGAATCAGATCAGTCCTGGGACCCCGCACTGAGCCATGGGACCCCCACCAGGCCATGGGACCCCGCACTGAGCCATGGGACCCCCACCAGGCCATGGGACCCCGCACTGAGCCATGGGACCCCGCACTGAGCCATGGGACCCCCACCAGGCCATGGGACCCCGCACTGAGCCACGGGACCCCCACCAGGCCATGGGACCCCGCACTGAGCCACGGGACCCCCACCAAGCCATGGGACCCCGCACTGAGCCATGGGACCCCCACCAGGCCATGGGACCCCGCACTGAGCCATGGGACCCCCACCAGGCCATGGGACCCCGCACTGAGCCATGGGACCCCCACCAGGCCATGGGACCCCGCACTGAGCCATGGGACCCCGCACTGAGCCATGGGACCCCGCACTGAGCCACGGGACCCCCACCAGGCCATGGGACCCCGCACTGAGCCATGGGACCCCCACCAGGCCATGGGACCCCGCACTGAGCCATGGGACCCCCACCAGGCCATGGGACCCCCACCAGGCCATGGGACCCCGCACTGAGCCATGGGACCCCCACCAGGCCATGGGACCCCGCACTAAGCCATGGGACCCCCACTAGGCCATGGGACCCCGCACTGAGCCATGGGACCCCCACCAGGCCATGGGACCCCCGCACTGAGCCATGGGATCCCCACCAGGCCATGGGACCCCCGCACTGAGCCATGGGACCCCGCACTGAGCCATGGGACCCCGCACTGAGCCATGGGATCCTCACCAGGCCATGGGACCCCGCACTGAGCCATGGGACCCCCACCAGGCCATGGGACCCCGCACTGAGCCACGGGACCCCCACCAGGCCATGGGACCCCGCACTGAGCCATGGGACCCCGCACTGAGCCATGGGACCCCCACCGGGCCATGGGACCCCGCACTGAGCCATGGGACCCCCACCAGGCCATGGGACCCCGCACTGAGCCATGGGACCCCCACCAGGCCATGGGACCCCACATTGAGTCGTGGGGCTGCTACCAGCCAATGGGACCCCCAGAAGACAATGGGACATATCACTGAGCCATGGGACCCCCCCAGCCAATGGGACCCCACACTGAGCCATAAGACCTACACCAGGCCAATGGGACCCTGCACCAAGCCATGAGACCCCCCCCACCAGGCCAATGGGACCCCCACATTGAGGCCAATGGGACCCAGCACTGAGCCATGGGACCCCCAAAAGCCAATGGGACCCCTAAGGAGCCATGAGACCCTATCCCGAGTCACGAGACCCTGCATTGAGCTAAGGGCCCACACAGTGTTCTTTATTCTAAATACAAAGTCACAATCAGTATCATTACAAATTCTTCCAGCCAGTAATGGACTCCCATCTTCCTCTGAACCCCAGGCTCATTGGTTGCTATGGGTGACGGCGGTTTGCACATCATCAGTAGAGGATTCTCCCTCTTCCAGGAGCCATGTACAGGAGATGGATGGAGGCTGATAGAATG